TGACCATTTGGCTCTGGACAACCAATTGGTGTGCTCTTCCATGGGAAGACCACCTCTCCTGCTCCCAGCTTTCCTCAGTTGCCTGTAGTTCTTTTTGTAGAGCTGAGGCCTCCTGGACTTTTCTCCATGCAGCTGGCATGTTCGTGGCTGTTCTCCTCTTTAGCCCATGTTTGGGCAGTTGTGTTGATGAGACTTTATGTGTGTAGTTAATAGAATTTTCTTGGAATGACAGCCCCCAAATAATGACATGGACTTATTATTAATTATGAAGGCTTGGCCTTTAGCTTAGGCTTGTTCCCAATTAGCCCTGATAACTTAAATTAACCTGTTTCTATTAACCTATGATCTGCCACATGGCTTTTTACCTCTCTTCCATTCTGTATGTCTGACTTGCTCAATGTCTCTCTAGTGTCTCTCGCTCACCTACATTCATAACCCTGAGTTCCTCTCTCTACCCAGAAGTCCAGCCTACTCTCTCCTGCCTGGCTGGTGGTCATTCAGCCTTTATTAAACCAATCAGAAGGCACCTTTAACACAGTCTGATCAAACATCCTGCACCATCACAGCAAACTCCCTGACCCTCTTCCTCTTACACTCTTTCTGTTTGCTTGGTCTTCCACAGTGTTCCCTGAGCCTTGTGTGAGAGAGTGTTTTGTAGATGCTTCCATTGGAACTGTGTCCCCAAACTGGATTCTAATTGGTTGTGGTTTACTGCAACAGTCTCTATCCATTGCAAAGAGAGGTTTCCTTGATAAGAGGTGGACTACACTTACGGGTGTAAGTGGGACTACACTATGGGACTTACACTACTGGTGTAAGGACAAATGTTTACAAAGTGTTGTTAAGGATTATGCTGCTTTAGTAAATTACTGGTTACAGATTTTCCTCCAGTAACAGTGGCTTCACTAGTACTGGTTAGTTATCTAGGTTTCCAGTACCAAACTCAATTAGAGAGTTGTTGGTGACTGCCTTAGGGTTTCTATTGCTGTGAAGAGACACCATGACCACAGCAACTCTTATAAAGGAAAAACATTTAATCAGGTGGCTCACAGTTCAGAGGTTTACTCCATTATCATCATAGTGGGACATGATGGCATGCAGGCAGACATTTTGCTGGAGAGATACTTGTTGAGAGTTCTACATCTTGCACAGGAAAAAGGAAGTGGTCTGTCTCACTGGGTGTGCCTTGAGCATATATGAGACTTCAAAGGCCAGCTCCACAGTGACACACTTCCTCCAACAAGACCACACCTACCCAACATGGCCACTCCTCCTAATAGTGCCACTCCCTTTGAGGGTCATTTTCTCTCAAACCACCACAGTTACTGGCAGGGCTTGTGTACCACTACTTCACCCACAGGGCTACTGGACAGGTCGTCACTGATGTGGTTCATGATGTCATTGCTAGGAAGGACTGCTGTGTCTCTCTCCTTTGGAAGCTTTCATGTGCCTTCTAGTACCAGGAAAGTTAGTCCTCAGGGCAGAAGGGAGGTGGCATCCAAGTCAGTGACAGCTCAGGGGCCTCTGGGCCCTGTGTCTGAAGTGCAGGGTGTCTTCAGCAATGGGGAATTACCTTTCACCTCTGGAGGATAACTAAGGGCAATAGCAATAGACTGTATGTTTTAGGAGTCTCTTAGACAGCCCAGGCCAACAACTCATAAGAGGGCTTCCCATATCTGGTATTTGTTTTTGTTTCTTTGGTAAGTCTTTGGGAGTTCCATCAGCACAGATGAGAAAGATTCATTAAATTACATATGTATATGTATACACTGAATTGTGGGCATTAGAGGTTTTATTGTTTTAAGCAATAGTTAATAGTGTGATTCCTTTTGCATCCATCCATATTGTTATTTTACATGCTCCTTTCCTCCTGTATTTACCTCCCTCCTCTTTCCTAAGGAGAACCCTTTTCTCTATCAAATCAATTTTATCCTAAAACTATGGAATGCTTCACCAATGTGTGTGTCATCCCTGCACAGGGGCCATGCTAATCTTCTCTGTGTCACTCCAGGTTTAGTATACGTGCTGCCAAAGCAAGCATGGGGTTGACTTTAATACCCCACTCCCACCAATAGACAAGTCAACAAACTTCAGAGTTAAACTGTGCCATTGATCAAATGGACTCATAAGACTTTACAGAATATTCTATACAGTCACTGAAGTCATATCCTCCTCAGCAGCTCATGGGTCTTTTGCCAAGACAGAAATCATTTTAAGCTGTAAAAGTTATTTTAAGCTGTAAAAGAAGGTTTAACAAATAAAAAGGTAATCTTTTTATATTCTACCAGATCATGATATTAATAGATGGAGAAGTCTCTGAAAAACTAAACTCATTCTTGATTACAGCCCTGAACAAACCAGGAAGAGAAAGCTCACACCTGCACACAATAAAGGCCACTGTGATAATCCTACCAACAGCATTATACTGAATAGGGAATGACTTAAGTTAGTTCCTCTAAATATAGGATAGCACCAATGGCGACCATTTTCTCAACTATTATTTAATACAGGGATTGAAACCTCAGAGAAATAAGATGTGTGTGTGTGTATGTGTGTGGTGTGTGTGTGTGTGCGCGTGTAAGAGAGAGAGAGAAAGAGAGAGAATATTGAAAGGAAGAAGTCAAATTACCCCATTTGTGGATGAAATGTTTCTGTTTAAAATCCCACAAGGCTGACAGAGCACTTGCCTAGCTTATAGAAGGCTCTGGATTTGATCCTGTGAACCACATACCAAAAAAAGGCTCTGAAAATCACCCAGGGTCTAGCAAGATGTCTCTGCAGGTGTCTCTGCAGGTAAACTGGTTGTTTGCACAAGACTGGAGATCTGACTTCAGTCTGAGAACACCATGAAAAGGGGAACACAGTGGCATGCCTTTGGAATCCCAACACAGGGGAATCACCTGGAAGCTGAAGGGCGGGATAACCTGGAGGACCCAGCATGGAAGAAAATACAGGAGAGATCTCCTCACATCTTAGAAGAAAAGAACTGACTTTCAAAAGTTATCCTGTGATCTCCACACACAGTGTAACACACACACACACACACACACACACACACACACACACACTAAAAAGACCTAGAGAAGCTATGGAAAAGCATCTCTGGATTTAAATAAGCAGGTTATGTTATGAAAATATGCTTGCACATTTCTGAATATACCCATAGGCACAGAATTGTGTACTGTAGATTGGTGAGGAGTATGATGTTAATTATGCTATAATAAAGCCATTCCTCAAGAGAAAAAGCGTGAAGCCAAAGTCATCTAGACTATTAATTTTTGTTTCACATTCTGAATTGAGCTGGGCAATAATCTTTGTGGAGAAGAAATTGTAATTTTCTATGTACCAATATAGTGTGTGTGTGTGTGTGTGTGTGTGTGTGTGTGTGTGTGTGTACATGCGTGTAGAAGGTAGGCTTTCCAATTTTTTGATTTTCATAATCCATCTTAATCCTAGTTAATTTCCTCAAGCAGCTGATTTGAGACTTCCTACTTCATAAGGTTTTCAAATACAACAAAACTTAAATGAAAATAGTCAACAGAATGTCCAGGGTGTCAGGAAAACTGCCCTGAGCTGATCATACACCATGTTCAAATGTACTGAAACGTCACTTGGTGCTCCCAAAATATATGCAATGTGGCTATAAGGTAGGTATTTACCAAACACTTGAAGAACATGAAATTCACATAGCACATATAAAATCTTGATTTGTCTTTAAGTAAGACCTGTTCATCAAGGGTGTCTGTAGCAGGGTAAGGAAAATGTCAACTAGAATTTCCCTTAGCATAGGCACTGCTGCTGGCATTATGGGATGGTTCTAGGCACAGCCTTCCTTTGAGTCTCCTCAACAGCCCAGATTAACACACAAGAGATGGTCCCTCAAAGCAAAGGCCAGGAGAAGCTTCTCTGAAAAGCCTCTATGTTTCCCCTTCTCGTTCCTTAGCTGTGAGACTGATGGGCCCCCTCTTGTTATGGTCTCAAGGATTCAACTTAGGTTCTGCTCCTGCAGAGGACCTGGAGTCCATTCCCAGCTCCCACATGGGGACTTCCAAAGGTCTGCCACTCCAGTTCTGGGGATCCAGTGCCCTCTCTGGCCTCCAGGGGTACCAGGTATCCAAGCAGTGCACTTACATATATGCAATCAAAACACTCATACACAGTAAATAAAAATAAATAAATCACTTAAAACGTAACTCAATTCAGCTTTGAGGACCCCTAAAAGTATTGATGTCGATTCCGATGTTCTTTCTCACAACAATTCTCCACTCTAGTTTGTATTTTATTTTCCTCTCATCTTGCCAAATACTCCACAGATCCTTAGACCCAGTTATGTGCAGAAAAGGTTCTGCATGTGTGTGCATTTTAACACAGGTTGATTGAAGAGCTGCACTGTTGGAGAGGCCTGTGTTAACACCACAGGAAGAGCTACTCTGGGCAAATGCCCAGGCCTGGACACATGGTGCTCAATAAACATGTGTGACTGTTAAACTTTCTGTGTTTCTAAAACTAGACGAGCGATGGCATCTCTGGTATTACACAAGAAAAGAAAAGAAGATAGCATTGTAGATACACAGTCACTGAAAGGTTTACAATCCAGTTATTTTGGCCTTTAATTTTTCTGTCTGTTCAAACGTTGTCCACACTATCTGAGTAAGAGTTGTAGGAAGTTGGTGACTATCTGTATAGCAAAAAAGAGATTTTTTTGGACAAATTTTAAATCATGAGATAAAGAAAAAGAACAAATTGTTCCGGTTCCTTCAAATACCAGTGTTAACAAATTTCTTTTGCACTTGTGGTAACTTAACTGCTTGACAAAACTTTACCCACTCAACATCAACTTTATTTACGTTCACACATTTTGAGATCAGAGGTTGTACATCCTCAGCCCGCCGCTGTGGACACCATACCCTCTGCAGACAGATGACATGGCCAATAGTCTGCATTTCACACTTGCAAATGAAGCTGCAAAGGATTTCCCAGCCCTGCCTGCCCACACTCACCAGGGTCAGATGCAGGGGCCCAGTCTGCTTGTGCAAAGGACGGGAGGAGAGCTGCAACTTCTCCCTGAGGCTCTGGCTTCTGCCCCTCAGCGTCCTGGAGCCTCTGCTTCCGGGCCACTTTTGCTGCCCTCCTTCAGGGGCAGAGACCTGGGCGGCTCCCAAAGAGAGGACAGGAAGTAGCCTGCTGGGACAGCACGGGTTGGGAGCAGAGGGCTTGGGAAAGGAACACCGTGGGGGAGGGGCCCTGTGGGTCCCTGGGTTTGGGGCTCCCCAGCTCAGGGCGAGCTTCCAGAGAGCTGGGCAGTCTGCCCAGCACAGAAGGTCGGGTCCACGCCAGTGCTGGAGGATGAGAAATCAGCATCCAGAGTCCCAGGGGAGACAAAAAAGAAAGTAACGGTTTCAGGCGGGGGTGGGGAGTGGGGAGGCGGGGCGTGTTTAGCAGATGGGGAAAAGAAGCAGGAGGCGAATATATGCTTAACACAGAAAGGAACAAACACGGGGTCAGGACAGCCCAGGATATGGCTTGTTAAGCGCCCAGGTTGTCAATGTAAATTGATTTATAGTTTCATTCTATATCTGAAGAGACCAATTGAGAAATAATTCACTGTTCACGACTGTAATCCCTATAACCGAGAGATTGAGGCAGGAGGATTTGGGGTTTGGGTGCCTGAGCTAAATATCGAACTCCATCCTTAAAGAACAAGAAGAGGAGGGGGGGACTAAGTGTAGACTGTGACCCTGCAGTCAGATGGTGCAGTGTGTGCAGTACAGGACACTTCATAGACCATGAAGTTCAATGTTGAAAACAAGTCAGGTTCATACTCTAATAGTCTCCCTAACATTCCAGGATGAAGGGGGGAGGGTCACACGAGCCTCCCCCTCCAGCTGAGGAACTATGGACAGTTGATGACTGCCAGGAGAGGGAAAGTCGGTTTTCTTCAGGAGTGTGGTCCTTGGTGTGTTAACTATCCAGGGGATGATTCTACTCCATGTGTACATGGGCAGCACTGACTGGACTCGGTGGGTCATTGAAGAAGAGGAGGAAGAGGAATGGGGAGGGAGGGA